TCAACCGTTGTATAATAAAGAGTGAACGGTGGTATCGGTTCACGACATTGCCCCCTGCCAGGTTGAGCTATACCCTGTAATTGACGTGGCGTCGAGAGCGTTTGCTGTGGCGTGTGTTGGTGGCGGCGATGTCCGATGCAGATCGTTTGGGCGTAGTCTTGTGATGCTCTGTGGTGTCATTATCAAAAGCTGTATCACGTAAACCAGACGAAGTGTTCTTCATGTGAGACGAAGAGTGCTTCATGTCGCGTGTAGGCGTTGGTGATGGTGATGCGGTGATTTTGTTCCAGTAATTCGAAATAGGTGCTGGGCTATTGAATGACTGTGGAGGTTCCCAAGTGTCATCAGCCTCAGTGTATCCTTCCCATCTTACCCTGTAAAGATACTTTCCGGGTGCCAACTCTTTGTGATCAACGATAGCTTGGATCGTGTAGTACTCGCCATCCCGTTCATAGGCTTCACTTGCATCGAGTAATTCATCCTGGGATACGAGCTTGAGTTGTGATGGTGCGAAATTCCTGGATGCGAGGAGTCCTTGTTCATCCCTTAAGACATAAGAACCGCCTTGGGTTTCACGTACAACGGTATAGGGTCCTTCATAACGTGGATCCAATTTCTTGCTGCGTAGCATATCCTTGACCATAACCTTGCTGCCTGGAGGGAACTTAATCATCCTATACTTGGCATCATGCTTACCTTTCTTGAGCTGTGCGAGTGCTGTTGCCCTTTCCGAGATGGCAGAAAACACCGTTTTCGACATCAAGTCAATGCGCTCCATCAGCTCATCTTCTTGGAGAGGCCTAGGAATGTCGTCATTGCTGTAGTCACGGAATCCATTTATAGCTCGGTTAAACATGAGGGCAAATGGTGTTGTACCATGACAGCTGGCAACCTTGTTGTTGAGGGCAAGTTGGATAGGTTTCACATACAAGTCCCAATCTTTGGTTGCTCCATCGACATTCTTGCGGATGACATTGGTTGTTGTTTGAACGAACCTTTCTGCCAAACCATTAGCTCGTGGGTGATAAGGTGTCGCTAGGCGGTGGTCAAATCCGGCTGATTCCTTGAGCTTGCGCATAAGTGCGTTGACGAATTCGGTGCCGTTGTCGGATTGTAGATATCTTGGAAACCCATAGTCGCAAAATGTGTTGATAACTGCTTGTACTACTGTATCAGAAGATTTGTCAGGAAGAGCATGTAAAACACAAAAACGTGTGCAAACGTCGACCATAACTAAGAGATAGTTGTTACCACGGCGGCTTGTAGGAAAGCTGGCAAGGTCAATTGCCCAGTGATCACCAGGGAGATATGCATGAATAGGGCGTAAAGGTTGATAGCCGATCTTAGCGATGTTGTGTCGCTGACATTGTGGGCAGCTGTGTACAATAGCCTGTGCCTCCTTATGCATGTTGTTCCATTGTAGGCCGTTGTTGTGTAAGTAATCCACCATGGCCTTTGCACCAAAATGTCCGAATAGATGAGCTTCGAGTAGCAGCGCCTTTCGTTCTGATTCGGGTGGTGTAAACATGTCGTCTGTACCATCGTTGAGGCTGCTGTATACTTTGTCGGTGTCGTTGTCGTTAACGTCGATGGCGTTGTTGCATACAGAAGTTGATTGTGTACCATGTGTGTGCGTAGCATTACCCCCTCGCAGCTCTTTTGTTGTTGGAAAAAGGCGTGAGAGTTGATCTGGCAAGGTGTTGTTGAGACCTGGTAAGTGCACAATGTTGAATTGGTATTCAAGAATGGTTTCGAGCCACCCGATCATCATAGGATTGGCGATTTTCTGTGTATGCATATAGATCAAAGCTTTGTGGTCGGTATAAAGCGTGAAGTGATTACCCCATAAATACTTGTGGAACTTGTTGAGGGCGAAAACAATGGCGAGTAACTCTCGTTTGGTGGTTGAATAGTTGCGTTCAGAACGTGAGAGTGAGCGAGCCATGAAACCAATATGGTGTGTCTTACCATTAATAACCTGGTATAATACTGCTCCGATCCCTGTATTGGACGCATCAGTGGCAACCTGAAAGGGATGATTCAAATCGGGATGACAAAGTACAGGTGCTTCAAGAAGAACCTTTTTGAGGTTGTTGAAAGCTTGTTGTGCTTTAGGTGTCCAAAATCGACCTAAGCGATGCACGTTGCGAAGCTTGTCCAATGGTGCCATGAGATCTGCTGCTTTAGGGATGTGTTCTCGAAAGTAGTTAATAACTCCCAAAAAACGCTGGATGTCTTTACCTGTACGCGGTGTAGGCCAATCTTGCACATTGGTAACCTTACGGGTGTCGAGTGATTTCCCATGTTCGGATATGCAAAAGCCAAGTAGGTAAACCGCTTTTTGAGCAAAGTGGCATTTTTGTGGATTGAGGATAAGATTGACGCTGGTGAGCTTGTCGATAGCAGCTGCAACATGATCAGCGTGTTCCTCCATGGTCTTGGAAAAGATGATGATATCGTTGACGAATGTCTTGACAAAAGGCATGTTAGCAAAGACGATGTCCATTGTACGTTGAAAGGTTGATGAGATGGGCTTTAGACCAAATGGACAACCACGAAACATGAGCTGAGGAAAACCATCAACTTTGAATGCGGTCTTGGGTCTGTCAGGCTCATGGATCTCAAACCTGTGAAACGCGCTCTTAAGGTCTAAGGTGGTGAATACCTTGGAGCCTCGTAACTCTGCATAGATGTCGTTGATAAGAGGTAGCGGATGTCTATCCGGTTCAACTAGAAGCCTGTTGATGTGTCGTGGATCAAGACAAGGTCGTTTGTCTGTATAGTTGCCGAAAAGATCCTTCTTTGGTGCAAGAGTGATAGGGCTGTTCCACGGCGTAGGCTTGGTAACGGGTTCTACGACACCATCACGTAGCCAAGTTTCAACTTGTTCTTTGACACGTTGTTGGCTGGCAATGGGAATTGTGTATTGGCGTCGATGAACAACAGCGTCTTCGTCTTTGGTGTTGAGTTTGATAACCGATTGAGGAACGGTGCAAAAGGTGTCCAAGGGGATTTTCGTGTTGCGATCAATCGTGGGTTGAACCTTGTTGAAAAATGTGTGACGTTGAATATCGGAGCCTGCGGGTGAGTCATTAGGCTGAGGAATATCACTTGGGTGCACTTGTTGCTCTTTTGGTTGTTGTTGTTGTTGCCACGTAGCAACCAAACCTGTTATCGCAATACCCAGCTTTGGCATGAGGTCGAGACCAATGGTTACTGGTGCTGTACCTGAAAGCTCCATTACGAGGAAATCATGTGTGAGCTCTTTGCCGTTGTATGTAATAGGAATGTTTTTAGCGAGACCTAACAGTGTAGCAGAGGAACCATTTTGCGCAAGCGAAACATGTGTGTGATCAAGAATATCTTTATTGATGACTGCGTTAATTGATTGTGCTAAGGATGGGGTGATGAAAGAGCGGTTGGCTCCGGTATCAACGAGAGCAAGGATATCCTTAGTCTGTACCGTTAAAGCAACAAGCAGTGAGTCGGATGTGTTATCCTGTAACGAGTAACAAGTGTAATTACCTGTGATGTCCATATTGGCAAGTTGACCAGCGCAAAAGTCGTAGATCTCATCACTACGGGAACGAGAAGAGGAACTGTTGTCGGTAACAGTGATGCTGCGATTGTGGACATTCTTGTTTGGACGCTTAGCCTGGTATTGCGGGCAAACCTTCAAATGCTCAAATGAGAACACTTCTTTGCGGCAATGACGACAAAGGTTGGGAGCTGTGCCCTGGGCTGTGGTAGTGACCTTGGATGAATCATAGGAGGAACCTGTAGTAGGTTGTTGCTTGGGTTGATTGATGCTGCGAAGGCGAAGTAACACCTCACAATCCTCCTTGTTATGTGAGCCATGCTTGTGGATAGGACAATTGCCATATTGACGGCGACGATGCTTGTGTGGGCTAGTGTTGCCTTGAGAGTCATTGCTTGCCCTAGTGCGCTTGTTGGCATGACGGCTAGTGTTGGTGCTTGAGGTGCCTTCCATATGTTCACCAATGGTTCGTATAGCTAGCAAAGCAACCTCACGCAGGTTGGATGGATCTTGTCTTGGGTAATTGGAAGCCAACACTTGGTAAAGCTTGCGACGCACCGAATCGTGTAGCGAGTAAATGAAATCTTTACAAAGTCGGTCATCTTCCGTACGGGCAGCTTCTCTTGCCAAAGATTCGAAAAGCTCGACGTATTCACGAATAGGTTGACCACGTTCTTGACGTAACTCGTAAAGTTCTTGCCCCTTTTGCCAGATGTGGCATGGATTGCCATACTCGGTTTCGATCTCCTCTTGGGCTTGCTTCCATGTAAGGTCTTGACCATGAAGTTCTCGTTGAAACCATGAGCGTTGGTGGTTATCCAGACATTGCCAAAATAGGCGCTCCCAATGCTTGTCCAAATTCAGCTTATGACTATGCAGCTGGGCCTCGAAAGCCGTAAAGAATGCTCCAATAGACTCATGCATATCCCTGTCTTCGAAACGGACTGGTCCACCCAAAACTTGTAGTCCAGGCATGTTACGTGGAACGACTTCTCTTTCCGAAGTGGGGTTCAAGGCTTGTTGGGTTGCAGTAAAGGCCTTCAGGTCCTCCAAAGCGTCTTCATGGCGTTTCTTGCGGAGTTTGCGAGTAGCAGCAGATGGGTTGTCTTGCAGGAAGCGCTCCTTCATGGTATCCTCCACTCTCTTGCGCAACAAGTCAGCTTGGTCCTCAATGGAAAGTGTTGATGCATGTTGAGAGGTATGGGTGCCATTGTTGTCTTGGGTTGTTTGCTCATTAGCAGATGCTTCAGTCATGTTGGTGTCCTCATCAGCCGTTCTTCTTTGGTCATTGGTTTGGTCTTGAGGTTGGCCTTCGTTTCGTGGTTGGGATGACGCGTCACCAACTGTCTCAGGAGTGTTGTTGTCAGGGTTGCTCATGATAAGATGATAAAATTGTGGGAGAATTCACTGTAAAAAATGAAATGCGCACAAATGAAATGATAAAAGATGATAGTAAGAAGAGGCGAGAGAATACAGTGAGACTCAATAATGGGTTGAATTCTTTATTTCAATTGATTGAGTGCGCTTATTTATAGCTTTGATGGATGATGGCGTAAGGGATTGATATTTGGGTTGTTGTTGATGTGGCTTCCTGATTCAGGATATGGATGAGTTGGCATACGCAGTGATGATGGGACCCGTGCGTGAGTGGCACAAATGGTTGATTTGTGTAAGTCATGCGTGTAGTGGCGTAAG